AGAAATTTTCTTAAAGCTTTTTATTAGGAATTGCCGAACCTCCGCCACTACTTTTGGTATGCCCTATGTAGTTGGCGAGTATATCAAGAATGCATTCTAGAATATAATATTGTTTCACTTCATACTTTTCGATAAAAATATTTTCATTCCTTTATGAAAAAAAAAATAGAAGATTTTAGTTTAAGATAAATACATGAGTTAATATTGATAATTTATTTTAAAATTCAAGAGTACAGTTAGAAGAATCAACAAAATAGTATAGAATGAACAGGAGAAAAAATAATAATAAGACGGAAAATGATTTTATTTGAGTCGACTATATACCAGCAGCAGCTAATAATAGTTTGTCAATATCATAATCTTCACTTGACACCTTTTCAGCTGCTTCGTTTTCAGTTGATGCATAATCTTTAGTAGAGAATAACTGAATGTCTTTAAGAAAGCCAAGATCAATTGATATCTGTTGAAAATCTCGATCTTCAATATTTTACATACAATTAAGTTCTGAAATATCTTCATCATCGAGAGATTATTCTTCATTAATATAGGATGTGGGTGTGGATGAGTGAATGGAAGAGTCACATCCACACTCACACCCACACCCTTCGAATAATTTGTGCCGATGAATTGACTCGTCGTGTAGCTTCTAATGAATATGAAATATTTCAACCGAAAGGTTCCTATTAACAATATTAACACTTCTATGAATCATCGATAATAAAAAGTATCGAACTATCACCAAAGATTTTATTTTCTTATATCAGTTAATTTAATAATTTTAAAACTATGAAAATAAATCATTGTGAAAAAGCAATGCTTAACTTTATAACGTGCGTCTATAGTGTGAATGAGACATTTTCCCCATATCGTTTCTTTAGAATTCAAAAATTAGTTTTCATTCATAGATTTATTATCGAATCATTTGCTAATACTGTATGAATATGTTAGAAAGTTGCTTGAGTTTGCACTATGGTTTGTTGAATGTTGATCATCATCGAGCGATAGGAAGAAAGAGTTTTACATTTGAATATCGAACTTACTCAGAATGTATTCGAAATGAGTACAGACAATACCAGAAAATTTCAAAAGAAGTTCGAGACATCTAACATTTGATACTTCATCTGATAGATCACATAAGACGCAAATTTTCATGAATGATGACCTTTTCGAAAAATAATATACAGTAACATCATTATTCGTTAACATCATTCAAATTCTATTATAATCTATTGAACGAAATGTTATCGGATGCATTTCTCAAAAGTACACCTAATTCGAAGAATTTTTTATAAACTGACGGAATTCTTTTAGCGTTTTATAATTTTGTAATTATAAAATAAGCAAGAATATTTGTTTAAAATTAACCATATGTCTCATCTGGTCGACTAACAACAGCCTCTTTTTTTTCTATCTATTTATAAATTCTTTTACGCTAGATATATGTTCTCTGAAAAGATAATCATGTCGTCATTTCTTTTGAGTAAGCTTGGACCATTGGTTCAGTTTTCAAGTTCTTACCAAACTCATATTTTATAATTAGATGGATAATACGTATCAATTTCCAAATATTCAAATTCTTGATCATATTTGTAAAACACATTTATCATCAAATATTACTGTTATCTTGTTAAATCATCATTAAACATGTTGTTAGATATATGATTCATTAATTATTTATCGTCTTAGTTTCTATGAAGAAGATGACATTACTTATCTAATTTTCCTTAGGACACTCTGAGAGAATAATTTGAGAAAATTTTTATTATCATTTGTAAAGGTTCGACATTAGCTTGAGTGAGACCTTATGTTAATATCATTTTCTATATATTCAAAAGAAACACTACAATATAATGTGTAAAATCATATGCGGCTTATGCTTTGCCATAGAAAGTAAGAAGTAAGTAAATTGAGAGTATCAGTTGGAATAGAGAATCACACATAAATTAATCACAGGGTTTTTTTCTTTATTTTTCTTCAATGAAATAATATGATAAAAGAGGCAAAGATCACGAGAAGGCAGTTGAAACAAACACTTCATGGAGGAGAGAATTGATGAAAAGAAAAACAGTAATAAACACGAAAAGGAAAAACAGGAACGAAATAGAAAAAAATTGAGATCTACTTGAAAAGTAGAAGAAAAGAAAAGGGAAGGGCAAAGAAACGGTTGAAAATAAAATAAAATGTATTGTAGTTTTTAGAGACTAAAAGTTTATGACAATGCACACTAAAAATTGTTTAGAGATTCGATGCAATGTAAACAAATATTAGAATTGAAATGGAGAAGTTACTGATTTACTCGTCATGAGTCAATGACTGCTAAGTCATCTATTCTTACTGACGCATAAACAACTTTCGTTCTTCACCTGAAAGGTCTACTTCTTTTTTCGTAGTTATAAATCATGCTGAAAAAGAATGTGTCTGTCTGTCCTCATGACGATTTTCTTTCTCCGTCTAAAAATTCTCACTGCATTTATGTGACCCATAAAATACAAGGGTGAAAAAATTCAACATAGTTCTGACGTATAAAGGATTTACATTAGATACATAAAAGGAAAATAGAGAGTTACACAGCAAAAAGATTAATGAATACAAATATGATATTTCGTCTTTTGCTCATCATCATTACTGTCAATATGTCTCTCTGTACTGATGTAAGCCAAGTGAAAAAAGATCTTGGGACAGTAATCGGTATAGATCTTGGAACGACATATTCATGTGTTGGTATTTTTAAAAATTGTCATGTTGAAATAATTGAAAATGATCAAGGTAATCGAATAACTCCATCTTGTGTTGCTTTTACACCTGATGGTGAACGACTAATTGGTGATGCTGCTAAGAATATACTTACATGAAATCCTGAAAGTATATTTTCGTTATTATTTTTATATATTTCTTTGCATGATTTTTGTTTAGATACAGTATTTTAAATCAAACGAATTATTGGTCGGAAGTTTAATGATTCATCTGTGCAAACAGATATCAAACATTTTCCATTTTCGGTCATTGAAAGTAATCGTAAACCAATTGTGAAATTAGATACTCGTTATGGTGAAAAATTATTTACACCCGAAGAAATTTCGGCCATGATACTTGGAAAAATGCGTGAGATTGCTGTAAGCTTTTGTCATTTGGCACTGAAAACACATAGACAAACATTGATCCATTATTATAGGAAAGATATCTTGGCAATAAAGTAAAAAATGCTGTGGTAACAGTACCTGCATATTTCAATGATGCTCAACGACAGGCAACCAAAGATGCTGGTAAAATCGCTGGTTTCAATGTCATACGAATTATCAATGAACCAACAGCAGAAGCCATTGCATATGGATCGGACAAAATGAAGAACTGGAAGGATGCTAAGAATATTCTTGTTTTCGATTTGGGTGGTGGAACATTTGATGTTTCACTGTTAACATTTGACAATGGATTATTGGAAGTACTTGCTACTGATGGTGATACACATTTGGGTAAGTTGATTTTCTTTTGAAAGAATTTCTATTCGTGTTTATTTTCTAGATGGTGAAGATTTTGATCAACGTGTTATAGATCATTTTATTAAATTATTCAAAACAAAAAAAGAAAAAGATGTCGGAAAAAATGCTCATACAGTAGAAAACTTCGTCGTGAAGCTGAAAAAGCGAAACGAATTTTGTCGCCCGAACAACAAACAAGACTTGAAATCAAATCACTTATTCTCAATGAAGATTTTAGCGAAATATTAACACGTGCAAAATTGGAAGAACTTAATATGGATTTATTTCGATCAACAATGAAACCTGTAGAAAATGTTCTCCAAGATGCTGAATTAGAAAAATCTGACATTGCCGATGTTCTTCTTGTTGGTGGATCAACTCGAATCCCTAAAATACGACAAATTCTTAAAGAATTCTTCAATGGAAAAGAACCATCACGTGCTATCAATCCAGATGAAGCTGTTGGTGAGCAACAGTGAAACGTAAAGGAAAGAAAACCATCTCTTTAACTGCGCTTTTTTTTCTAGTTTATGGTGCAGCTATACAGGAAGCTATACTCGCAGGTGACGATTGCATCATCGATGAAATTGTCATTATAGATGTCAATCCACTAACAATGGGCATTGAGGTTAAAGATGGTGCTATGTCAAATATAATTCCACGAAATAGTCACATTCCAAAAACGAACAAGCAGATTTTTACAACTGTTCGCGACGATCAAGATACAGTGACAGTACGAATATTCGAAGATGAACGACCGATAGCCAAATATAACCACTTTTTGGGTGAATTCTATCTCACTGGTATTCCACTTGCACCTTGAGGTGTTCCTTAAATTGATATCACTTTTGACATTGATGTCGATGGTGTTCTCACTGTAAGTGTTGAGTAAAGATTGTGTAAAAAAATAATTCTTTTTTTTTTAGGTCACCGCTGAAGAGAAAACAAGAGGCAATAAGAAAAATATTATAATCAATTCGAAAACAAATCGCTTGTCGAGCAACGAAATTGATCGAATGATTAAAGTTGCCGAACTTTTTGCAGACGAAGATAAAATAGTTAAAGAACGAATAAATGCTAAAAATGAACTCGAATCGTAAGTCTTATCTTCACATTGTTGATAACACAACGAATATTGTAATACTTTCTTTTTAGATATATCTATTTATTGAGAAATCAATTAAAAGATCTGAAGACATTCTTCGAAGAATTGTTATCAAAAGAAAAGTCAATAATTACAAATGCTATTGAAAATCAAATCAAATGGATCGATACAAATCCAAATGTCAAAGTTGATCAATTCAGAAAGCAGAAAAAACAACTTGAAACAATTATTCTACAAATTATGAGCAAAATTCATGGATATAATGTAAACAATACCCAATCACAGTCATTTCAATACTATGGAGAATTGTGAGAATATATCTATATATGGCAAATCCTTAGATATTTTTTCGTTTCTTGTCATTTCACTTTTTCTTTTTAAAACTTGTAACTTAAATTATTATTGATGTGATTTTTTTCTCCTTATGAATCTGGGTAACTAAAAGAACCATACATACAACAAGTTTCACACCTCTCCTGTTGTCAACAAGATGCTGCCTGCTCAAAGTTGCCCACAGAACTATACAAATACATTGACATATTGAAGCAAGATAGACGATTATGCTCTTTTCTATGTGTAATCTTGAAGAAAAACAACAAGGATGAGTATGGGTGTACATATGGATGTGGGTGCGTAATAATACCTACACCCACCCACACCCATAGCAACCAGGGTGCCCCCATTACAGACAACTCTCCAATACAGACTTCAGCATTCGAAGAAAATAAGCTTCAGACTTTCTATTTTTTTTTTTGCAAAATTGATCAAATTAAAATATTGAGAAATAATGAACATCATTCTTCGTGTGTAGTTATATTATATAATAGTGTGTTGAAATCTGCTGTAGGTATGATCGATGTGCAAAATTAGATTGCTTGCCATTTAATTCGTTGACTCTAACAATAGCAGTGTTAAATTAATAAAAAGAAAAAATGAAAAATTACGAGCGACTTGATGAAATACAAATAATATGTAGAACACGTCTAGAAAAAAAATCTTTGCTCGAAATGCAGAAGTCTACGAGAGATTATTCACTTTACGTATTTTGTATTAGTTTAATGAAATAAGAGAGTATATGTGAATTCCACATTTCAGCCCGAAAGGGCCTGCGCTAACAAGCTTGTTTTCAAATGAGATAAAAGATCGCATCGTATGAGTCGTGCATGACTCTCAAGATTACAATATTATATCTCAGATTGCATATACCGATTTATGTGATGTTTTGATTAAATTTTATACAGTTGACATGCAAATGTCGGTAATCTCATCATTCTACAGAAGCGGTCTGCGACTTTATCTTATCGACATCATTCTGTTTCATATTTAAAAACCATCGTTTCAGATTGAAAAAATTTCTTTAACAAAATATTATCGACAATGCACACATTGTGACTACTTTATTAAATAAATTGATATACGAGGCTTTATTATTAAATTTCCTACAATACAAAGCAAACTAAACATTATAATAAGTTAAATTTATATGTCAATCGTCATAATTTCTATAAATAATTCGATCGTTTATTGCTTGTACCGGTCGATAAACTTTTCGCATTACATTATCGCGTAGTAAATTTAAACTTGTTTCTGCAATTGGAATTATATTTGGAAATATTGTCCATATGACGCCTTCAGTACACGGAGGTGTTGTTAAACTACCAGTATAACGAAAAAATTGTCGACCTTCGATTTGCATTAGATGACTTAAATCGAACATATAATTAAATGTATCGCCAATATTTTTCAAATGTGTTGCACCGTCTGCATAATGTTTCCATTCAACATTTTCTTCATGTAATGGACCAGCTATGTCGAAAAAGAATGCAAATACGGCCACTTGTTTATTTTCAAAATTCTTATGAACAAAATGCGCTTCGGCCGGAAATTCACGTCCATCAATTTCATGTTCAGATCCATGTCTGTCATTGTTACCCCAATGTAAATGAAAATTAACGAAATGAAACTTTCCGCTTAGCCCACCACCAGTAAACCATAGATCGGATTGATTTTCAATATCGTTTCTTTCTGCTAATGTAGCAGCAACTTGATGACCTGTGTTCTTCAGTGTAAATAACAACTTATCCGCATAATGCGGTGAAAATATAAATGGTGGGTAGTGTTGACGGACGGTTTCATCTAATTTTATATTGATAGGCGACTGAAAGCGACCTGCTGCAGCTGAAAATCTTTCATGCCATTTATTTGGATCGTCATAACTCCAGTAATCATCGGATGCATCAGCGCACGACATATAGATAAGAACGTTTTATACCTGTTGAAGCGAGAAGCTCGCTGGCAACTAATGATCAAGCTGTAAAGAAAAACAAAAAAAAACAATAATATTTTCCTGATTTTCATTCAGCCTATCGAATAGACGATTCGGACATACTATTTTTGTACTATACCGTTACGCACACAGCCATAACTATAAATAAGGGTAGCAAAGACAGTAGTAAAAGACTGTCTTTTCCTCTTCTCTATTCTGTCGTTTCCTTTTTTGCAGCTTGGCAGTGCCGTGATAATATCAGTAAGAACAAAATTAATGGTCGAGTAAATATTTTTCTCTTGTGTTCTCTCAAGTGTCGAGCGGGCGATTTCTTGGCAAATGAGAATGATAATAGAAGTAAAAAAGATTCCAAAATACACTACTCTACCCATACAAACAGTACTAGGAAAAACACTCGGCCACTAAGCTTGACAAAGTAGGAACTCTAGTCGCCCATCTCTGAACGGTTCTTATCATGCCCAATTTGTGTACAAATCAAGATACCCACGCAAACAGATAAATACTTAAAACGATGTTTTCACACGTTAATGATAAAAATTGAAGAAAGCAACGCGTTGAAACTCGTTCACTCAACAAATTAAAGAAGTAAGGGTGTGGAAACCTTGTTTTTCGCTGTCAACTCATTTTAACGGGTTTAACAAAAACATTAGATATATGAGCATGCTTTAACGTGCATAATCGATGGATCAAGGGATTTGAAGCGTTTTAACATGGATAAAAGTCCGTTTTAATACGATAACACAAGAAGAATAAACTTGAGAATCATTGCTATTATAACTGATTTATATAGTATACTGTCCAAGGAAAAATATATTTAAATTAAGGGGGCCCCCCTCAGAAACCAACTTTGTTATTTTTCGTCCGATTTCAACCAAATATTTCAGAGAATGTGAGTCTAGGCTATAGGATAGATTATGGGTGAAATATCTCCCCCAAACCCCAGTATCCTAGTGAGTTACAGTCAATTTAGTGGTAAAAACTACTCCGTACGCGGGCAGGGTTTTCGTCATGAGGACTAGGAGCTAACAGGCCGGGGTGGTGTCTAGATTGTAGAGTGCTCCTAGAGCTAGGCCGTGACAGAGCTCGATTTTTTAATTTTCCTTCCTTTGTTTTTTAAAAATCTTTTTTCAAAAATTCTTGAATTCATGACCAAAAAACTCACGGATCAAAATGAAAGATCTACGGTTTTTATTTCAGTAAAAGAGAAATTCAAAAATCCGACACTATCAAGACCTAGCCCCACCTGTCTACTATACAATAAAAAAAACCTATCACCTCTGTATCGAGTCATTATGAAGAAAAGCCTGCCCGCGTAAATGGTATGCTCGAAAAAATTAATTTTGAGAAAAACGAAAAATAAGTTTTTAAAAACTTTATTTTTTTCAATATGGGGGTTCGGAAAAACCTATGTAATATCCTTAAATCTCATGATAAAATCAATCAACTATAGTGCATTCGAGAGTAGACACTTAGCTCTATCTAATGAATTATAAATCATAAAATCGATAAATTTGACCAAAATTGACTTTTCTGAGAGGGGGGGGGGGGGGCGGCTTAAGGCAAACATCTATGATTTTATTAACGATAAGTAGTCCACTTCGATTGCGTACTGAATAAAAACACATTTACTAACAAAAACAAATTTTACATAAGCTACAGGTAAAAAAGCAAGCTTTTATGAGAAGGATTTATAATGAATAACTCTGATTGGTGATCATTGTGATGCTCTATAGAGTATGTTTGTAGATTGCTAAACGTGATCATTTATCGACAAAGTATCTGCTGTGCGAGTTTTTTTGCCACGCTACTACGATGTGTAATACCTACATCTACAACTTATGTATGCTTTTTTGCATTCGAATTCGATTATGAATTATCGTGATTGCATTTATTTGAAAATGGCAAATTTTTTATGTAATATGCTATTTTCAAATAAAAAATAGTTTTAATTCGAACTCAAATTCACTATCTTCATGTAGAAAGACAATGGAAATAATTTTTATTTATTACTTCTGATTAAAGATGGATTAAAATCGCATTATTTTTATCGGATTTCTAACCAAATCATTGTTAAAACAAATTTAAAAATTTCTTAAAATCGATTAATGACTATTTATTGAATTGAAATTGATTAAAAATCAAATAATCTGATGTGAACTGATTTTTTGAAATAGTTATAATTGATTTTAATCATTATTTTGATGAAAAATTGCATTAAAATGAGGTGAAAATAGTGCCCTTATAATCGATTTGTAAAAACTAATAAACTCCGATTTATTTACATTCGTCAACTTCTACTATCATTACAAATTGAAGATATATGTAAGTTTCGTTCAATATAAGTAGAAAATTTAACTTATGAAGAAATAATGATCGTTGTAACACGTTGATTACTCATTTTTGCTTGCTAGGGTATTTGCATTTACTGGCAATGTATAACGATTAGGCATTAGGACTGGCTTATCTTTAGTTGCACAAGATTGATGGCAGAATAATGAATACATAGATGAAAAAGAAACAGATGGGTAGAAAAGAAATGTGAAAGAAAATAGACGTAACTATGCAAAACAAAAATGCTCGAGAAAAAGAAAAGTTTGAAACTGTTGTACTTAACTTATGGGGATCGTCGCGGTCGTAACTATTCAATCGAGTTTTTTGGCTGATTTACATTCACTCTCTATCAAATACAAATGCAATTCGTGTGGTGAAATGGCATGTAATGAAGCAATTGTCATAGTGCAAGCATCAAGTGTGCAGCTTTCTATTGATAACTGATTTCAAATGATTAGTAATTGAATCTTTATATCGACTAAAGAATGCGCAGAGCAAGTAGAAATTTTTTTTAAAATATATTGTAAGTTATTGAAAATTACAGAGTTCAAAGAAATGAATCAAGACAAAGGTGACAAAGCAATCCTACATCACTCCACAGTTAGAATTGCTAGTCAGAAGTCAGTTGATGGATATGAGACTAAGGATTTCCTGTGACAAGAAATGGTACATACAAGCAACGACCGCTAATTCT